CACTGTATATGAGAAGTCTTGGAGATTATTTGCATTGTGGGACCAGGACCCCATTGTGCTAGGCGCTGTACAAATCCAAACAAAAAGTTCTAATTCATCTCAGCAAAGCCAGGTGCCACTGGCCATGCAGGCTTTCCCACATGACACTGCCCAGGTGCTTCAACCATGAGCTTGAAGGAATACCTCCAAAGTGAGAGGTCAGTCCAGTTCTATGCCTTCTCGTCCTTGCCCTCTGCTGAAATTGCCCACAGAAGTGCCAATGACGGCTGCTTTCTGATGGGTTATCACACAGTTTGTTTGTTAGTAGGAACCTTGGGGCTCCAATCCTGCAAATGAATCTATGCCGTTGGACTCATGCATCTATGTGGAGCCCCACTGAGTGCAGGAGCCCATCCACATGGATCTCTCTCTGTTTCGTCTGACTGCAGGATCAAGGACTTGGTCACTATATTCATAAGCTGAGTGGTGTGGGCTTGAAAGTAGGATGACCAGATGTTCCAATTTTATAGGGACAGTCCCGATTTGGGGGGCTTTTTCTTATATAGGCACCTATTACCCCCCACCCCCGTCCTGATTTTTTACACTTGCTATCTGGTCACCCTACTTGAAACAAACACAAACATTCAGAATGAGCAAAATTACATACGTGCTTTAAACAAAAATAGCCCTCAATATCAGGAATGGCTGTGATGGGGGAAGGGCAAACACTATACTATACAAAGGCGAAAAGGGGTTGAAAATAGCTCCAACCCATAACACCTGCCAGCAGGCCTGGAGGGAATAAAAATATTTAGGGGATTTTTTGCGGGGGGGGGGGGGGAACAAACGTAGAAAGCACAGTACAGAAATCATAGACCCAGGCTGCTGCAGTTTAACCCTATCTTTCCACAGCTCTGATCCTGTCATGTCAGACAATAGGGCCATTCTAGTACAGCATATACACATACCACAAGCACCCTATCTCTCATGCTGGCAATACCTGGAATTCCTTATCGACAACTTGGATTATGCGGTTCAGTAATTAAGTGAAACTATTAAAATGAGAGGCTTAACACAAACTTAATTTAAACATCTTTAGCCACACTAATCTGAAAGATAAAGATAAAGCATCTTCTGATCACCGTGCTTTAGCCCCCTTATATTATTGTGACACTACACCCCATATTCTTTATTGTAATATTATTATGATCTGAGTATGGCATAATTGTGATGTATTTTATGCAAGGTAGGTCATGTAAGATATCATTGAAAAGGTTATGATTTACTGAATATGATTATCTTATTTGTATGCATTTATCATTTTGGTATCTGAAGTTAGATACATAGACAACATTCCTATTACAAATGTGTTTACACCTGGGAAATGCCCACTAGACAAAAGACTGTCAGTCTAGATGGCTGGCTGGGAAGGGCCCATTAACGTCAGTGTACCATTAGGGATAACAATAGTCTTAGAAGAAGCTAATCTCCCACTGGGGAGCCTTCCTGAGCACACTACAAACAGCCTCTGAGTCCCAGCTGCTATGATGCTACAGAGGCATGTGACCAGATCACCTGGTACTGGACTCCATCTTGGAATACCAGTGTTTTTCCACTGAAAGGCGTGGGAACCTAGCTTGGAGACAAAGGGTTCCCACCATATACAAAAGCTATTTAAGGCAGGGGAGTGTGGTGTTTAGATGCTGCTTGTAATTATTAGAACTGGGAGCACTGGCTGTTGGGAGTCCGAAAGAACAGGAAACAGGAAGGAGGAGGGGGAGTTGAGGAGGCTGAGTGAGAGCTACCGAGGGTGCAGCAGCAGCTTGGTAAAGAGGTTTCCACTTTATTTTTAAAGTCCTGTTGAAGTTTGTTAGTACCTTGCCTGGTTGTTACAACATTTTGGCAATGAGGATGGATCATCTGCCTCTGAACCCACCTGCACCCTTTCTGCAAAGCCCAGGTGAACCTCCAATTGCTTTTACTGCCTGGATCCGTATGTTTGAGACTTATCTGCTTGCAATCAGTGCTACAGAGATTTCTGAAGTAAGAAAGCGTGCTCTGCTAATCCACTGCCGTGGAGCAGAAGGGCAGCGTATATTTTACACTTTTCCCCTTGCAGATGATAAATATGAGACTGCACTCACTGCATTAAAGAACATTTTTGTGCCAAAAGTGAATTTAAGTAGCTATTCGCTACAAATTTCGCCAGCGTAAGCAGAAAACAGGGGAGACTATAATGCTTCCCTGACGAGTCTGATTGTAACTTGTGACTTTAATCATCTCATCTGCCATATTCCCAGAGACCAGCTCATTGAGAAAACAACTATGCTTCATGTAAGAGAACGTTTACTTCTAGAACCACAACTTACACTAGAAAAAGCAATAACCATTGCTACTCAGATTGAGTTAGCTACAGCTGAAGCCAAAATAATGAGCATGGATACAGGCGGCACAGTCCAGGTTATGACTCCTTTGCAGAAAAGTTCACTATTGCTGCAGACAAATGATTCCAAGAGGAAAACTAATGAAAAACCACCGTATCAGCAAATTCAAAATACAGTAAAAGCATGCTTTCGCTGTGGATCCCCACAACACCTTGCAAGCTACACAGAATGTCCAGCAAAAGTAGCTCAGTGCAATCATTGCAAAAAGATTGGGCATTTTGCTAAAGTATGTTGCAGCAGCCAGTTCAATCAACAGGTGCATGCAGTTACAATACCAGATGTTACTGTGCTGAGCGTGGACAAAATCACTACTGCACATATTCCAGAACATATAAAGTGCACTGTAAATGTTTCCACCATACCCTCAGGCAAATCACACTCTATTCAGCTAATGTTGGACACTGGCTCAGCAGTATCTATACTACTATTCTATACTACTGATTCCATCTATTTGCATTACTTTAAAGATGTGCCTCTTACTGATCCCAAACTTCACTTGGTGTGCTATTTGAAAAACCATATTCTAGTACATGGCTGCCTGCCAGCAATAGTTACTTTTGGTGATTGCTGCGTAACTGCAGAGTTCTACATTGTCCACAAAGCCACTTCTATCCTTGGCAGAGATTTATTGGCTGCTTTAAATCTCAGGGTAGTTAATGGACGAATTGATCTTCCTCAGCAAAGCACTCTTGCGGTACACACACCAGTTTCAGCTGAGACCGAACACCAGGTTGAGGAGAAACTCGGCTGTGCTTATGGGTTTCTGCATAGAGTTAAAATGCGGAATAATGTGGTGCCTGTATGACAGAAGTTACGGTGCTTACCATTTTCAGTCAGGGAAGCTGTTTCAGAGGAACTTAGAAAACTTGTTCAAAAGGACATTATTGAGGAGATTGATTCCTCAGAATGGGTTTCACCTATAATAGTGATGCAGAAGAAGGGTGGAGGCATTCGCCTTTGTGTGGACTTAAGGGAGCCAAATAAAGCTATTGTGATTGACAGCCATCCTCTTCTTCACATAGAAGAAGTATTTGCAGAACTCAGTGGAGCAAAGATGTTTTCTCCTCTTGATTTGCAGAGCGCATACCACCAGGTTATGTTGCATGAAGATAGCAGAGACCTCACAGCATTTATTACACGAGGGACTATTTCATTTTAAACGTGTTCCACGTGGTCTCGCATCTGCCCCAAGTGCCTTCCAAAAAATGATGTCATTGATTCTGAAGAATCAATGTGGAGTTCAGTGCTATCTGGATGATATTATTGTGTTTGGAAATACTTCTGAGGATCGTGATGATAACCTGCAGTCTGTACTAAACTGCATCAGCAAAGCAGGCCTCAAGCTCAATAGGTCCAAATGCAAATTTAGACAAACTGAACTCTCCTTTCTGGGGCATACAATTTCACAGGCTGGACTAAAACCTGATCCAGATAATATCCTGGCAATTTCAAATGCTCCTCCTCCAACAGATTTGCAAACCTTATGTTCCTTTTTGGGTCTTACCTCCTGGTATGCAAAATTCATTCCCAATTATGCTTCTGCCAGTGAACCGTTACGAGAATTACTACGGAGAAGTTCAACCTTAGTGTGGACAATGGATGCACAAACTAGTTTAAAAATGGTGAAAGACTTAATTGTACATAGTCTAGTACTTGCACTATTCAGTCCTGCATTTCCCACAATTGTAACTACTGATGCTTCTGATTGTGGACTTGGGGCTGTCCTCACACAACTTCATGAGGACAACACAGAGAGGACTGTTGCATTTGCTTTGAGGACACTAAGTAATGCTGAGAGAAAACATTCTACAGTCAAAAAAGAAGCACTTGCTTGTGTCTGAGCTACTGAAAAATGGAGAACTTACCTGTGGGGCCGCACATTCAAGTTGCGCACAGACCACAGCCCTTTGATGATGTTGCTCACCACGAAAGGACTGGGAAGAGCAGGATATCTTACTGCTAGATGGTCTGCAAGTCTACTCTCTTTCAATTATGAACTGAAATATAAGCCTCGAAACCAAAATGTGGTTGCTGATTACCTTTCTCACCTGTCTTTGCCTTCACCAGATGGTCCACCAGAGGATGAGGATATAGTAGTTGCGCTTATTAGCCCTGGTCTACACTAGGACTTTAGGTCGAATTTAGCAGCATTAAATCGATGTAAACCTGCACCCGTCCACACGATGAATCCCTTTATTTCGACTTAAAGGGCTCTTAAAATCGATTTCCTTACTCCACCCCTGACAAGTGGATTAGCGTTTAAATCGGCCTTGCTGGCTCGAATTTGGGGTACTGTGGACACAATTCGACGGTATTGGCCTCTGGGAGCTATCCCAGAGTGCTCCATTGTGACCGCTCTGGACAGCACTCTCAACTCCGATGCACTGGCCAGGTAGACAGGAAAAGAACCGCAAACTTTTGAATCTCATTTCCTGTTTGGCCAGCGTGGCAAGCTGCAGGTGACCATGCAGAGCTCATCAGCAGAGGTGACCATGATGGAGTCCCAGAATCGCAAAAGAGCTCCAGCATGGACCTAACGAGAGGTAGGGATCTGATCACTGTTTGGGGAGAGGAATCCGTGCTATCAGAACTCCGTTCCAGTTTTCGAAATGCCAAAACCTTTGTCAAAATTTCCCAGGGCATGAAGGACAGAGGCCATAACAGGGACCCGAAGCAGTGCCGCATGAAACTGAAGGAGCTGAGGCAAGCCTACCAGAAAACCAGAGAGGCGAACGGCCGCTCCGGGTCAGAGACCCAAACATGCCGCTTCTATGATGAGCTGCATGCCATTTTAGGGGGTTCAGCCACCACTACCCCAGCCGTGTTGTTTGACTCCTTCAATGGAGATGGAGGCAATACGGAAGCAGGTTTTGGGGACGAAGAAGATGATGATGATGATGAGGTTGTAGATAGCTCACAGCAAGCAAGCGGAGAAACCGGTTTTCCCGACAGCCAGGAACTGTTTCTCACCCTGGACCTGGAGCCAGTACCCCCCGAACCCACCCAAGGCTGCATCCTGGACCCAGCAGGCGGAGAAGGGACCTCTGGTGAGTGTACCTTTTAAAATACTATACATGGTTTAAAAGCAAGCATGTGAAAGGATTACTTTGCCCTGGCATTCGCGGTTCTCCTGGATGTACTCCCAAAGCCTTTGCAAAAGGTTTCTGGGGAGGGCAGCCTTATTGCGTCCTTCATGGTAGGACACTTTACCACTCCAGGCCAGTAACACGTACTCGGGAATCATTGTACAACAAAGCATTGCAGTGTATGTTTGCTGGCGTTCAAACAACATCTGTTCTTTATCTCTCTGTGTTATCCTCAGGAGAGTGAGATAGGATTCATTGTTACCTGGTTGAAATAGAGTGCTTTACTTCAGGGGACACTCAGAGGAGCCCATTCCTGCTGGGATGTTTGCCTGTGGCTAAACAGAAATGTTCCCCGCTGTTAGCCACAGGGAGGGGGGAAGGTTGAGGGGGTAGCCACGCGGTGGGGGGAGGCAAAATGCGACCTTGTAATGAAAGCACATGTGCTATGTATGTAATGTTAACAGCAAGGTTTACACTGAAAGAGTGTAGCCACTGTTTTATAAAATGTGTCTTTTTAAATACCGCTGTCCCTTTTTTTCTCCACCAGCTGCATGTGTTTCAATGATCACAGGATCTTCTCCTTCCCAGAGGCTAGTGAAGCTTAGAAAGAAAAAAAAACGCACTCGCGATGAAATGTTCTCCGAGCTCATGCTGTCCTCCCACACTGACAGAGCACAGACGAATGCGTGGAGGCAAATAATGTCAGAGTGCAGGAAAGCACAAAATGACCGGGAGGAGAGGTGGCGGGCTGAAAAGAGTAAGTGGCGGGCTGAAGAGAGGGCTGAAGCTCAAATGTGGCGGCAGCGTGATGAGAGGAGGCAGGATTCAATGCTGAGGCTGCTGGAGGACCAAACCAGTATGCTCCAGTGTATGGTTGAGCTGCAGCAAAGGCAGCTGGAGCACAGACTGCCACTACAGCCCCTTTGTAACCAACCGCCCTCCTCCCCAAGTTCCATAGCCTCCACACCCAGACGCCCAAGAATGCGGTGGTGGGGCCTCCGGGCAACCAGCCACTCCACCACAGAGGATTGCCCAAAATAAAGAAGGCTGTCATTCAATAAATTTTAAAGTTGTAAACTTTTAAAGTGCTGTGCTTAAAGTGCTGTGTGGCATTTTCCTTCCCTCCTCCACCACCCCTCCTGGGCTACCTTGGTAGTCATCCCCCTATTTGTGTGATGAATGAATAAAGAATGCATGAATGTGAAGCAACAATGACTTTATTGCCTCTGCAAGCGGCGATTGAAGGGAGGAGGGGCAGGTGGTTAGCTTACAGGGAAGTAGAGTGAACCAAGGGGCGGGAGGTTTCATCAAGGAGAAACAAACAGAACTTTCACACCGTAGCCTGGCCAGTCATGAAACTGGTTTTCAAAGCTTCTCTGATGCGTACCGCGCCCTCCTGTGCTCTTCTAACCGCTCTGGTGTCTGGCTGCGCGTAACCAGCAGCCAGGCGATTTGCCTCAACTTCCCACCCCGCCATAAACGTCTCCCCCTTACTCTCACAGATATTGTGGAGCACACAGCAAGCAGTAATAACAGTGGGAATATTGGTTTCGCTGAGGTCTAAGCGAGTCAGTAAACTGCGCCAGCGCACCTTTAAACGTCCAAATGCACATTCTACCACCATTCTGCACTTGCTCAGCCTGTAGTTGAACAGCTCCTGACTACTGTCCAGGCTGCCTGTGTACGGCTTCATGAGCCATGGCATTAAGGGGTAGGCTGGGTCCCCAAGGATACATATAGGCATTTCAACATCCCCAACAGTTATTTTCTGGTCTGGGAATAAAGTGCCTTCCAACAGCTTTTGAAACAGACCAGAGTTCCTGAAGATGCGAGCGTCATGTACCTTTCCCGGCCATCCCACGTTGATGTTGGTGAAACGTCCCTTGTGATCCACCAGAGCTTGCAGCACTATCGAAAAGTACCCCTTGTGGTTTATGTACTCGGCGGCTTGGTGCTCCGGTGCCAAGATAGGGATCTGGGTTCCGTCTATGGCCCCACCACAGTTAGGGAATCCCATTGCAGCAAAGCCATCCACTATGACCTGCACATTTCCCAGGGTCACTACCCTTGATATCAGCAGATCTTTGATTGCATGGGCTACTTGCATCACAGCAGCCCCAACAGTAGATTTGCCCACTCCAAATTGATTCCCAACTGACCGGTAGCTGTCTGGCGTTGCAAGCTTCCACAGGGCTATCGCCACTCGCTTCTCAACTGTGAGGGCTGCTCTCATCTTGGTATTCATGCGCCTCAGGGCAGGGGAAAGCAAGTCACAAAGTTCCATGAAAGTGCCCTTATGCATGCGAAAGTTTTGCAGCCACTGGGAATCGTCCCAGACCTGCAACACTATGCGGTCCCACCAGTCTGTGCTTGTTTCCCGAGCCCAGAATCGGCGTTCCACAGCATGAACCTGCCCCATTAGCACCATGATGCATGCATTGGCAGGGCCCATGCTTTCAGAGAAATCTATGTCCATGTCCTGATCACTCACGTGACCGCGCTGACGTCGCCTCCTCGCCCAATATCGCTTTGCCAGGTTCTGGTGCTGCATATACTGCTGGATAATGTGTGTGGTGTTTATTGTGCTCCTAATTGCCAAAGTGAGCTAAGCGGCCTCCATGCTTGCCTTGGTATGGCGTCCGCACAGAAAAAAGGCACGGAATGATTGTCTGCCATTGCTCTGATGGAGGGAGGGGTGACTGACGACATGGCTTACAGGGTTGGCTTCAGGGAGCTAAAATCAACAAAGGGGGTGTCTTTACATCAAGGAGTATTTCAGGCAGGACTTCACGGAGGGTTCCAATAAGAAATGGTGCACCTAAGTTATTGTTCTTATTGGAACAAGGAGGTTAGCCTGGCCTCTGATTGATACATGGCTAGATTTACCTCACTGCACCTTCTCTGTGAGTGACTGCAGTGTGACCTAGAGGAATGAGTCCCCTAGACAGGGGAGGAGGCAAATGAGTACAAAACAAATCTGGTCTATTTCTTGTTTTGATCCACTCCATCTATCTTTTACATCTTTGGCTGGCAGCAGACGGTGCAGAAGGACTGCCTGCCATCCACGTCTCATGGCTGCTCGGCAGAAGATGGTACAGTACGACTGCTAGCCATCCTCATCTCTTGCCTGCCTGGAAGAAGATGGTACAGTACGACTGCTAGCAATCCGTATCGCCTGCCTGCTCACCATAAGACGGTTCAATAGGACTGACTGCAGGACTAAAGAGAATGACCTGGTCAAGTCACTCCAAATTTAGTCCCTGCGCCCATGTCTGCCCAGGCGCTCCCAGCCGACGTGGCCAGGAGCACCTCGGACATGACGATGACGGCTACCAGTCGTACTGTACCATCTGCTGCCACAAGGCAAGGGGTTGCTGCTACTGTGTAGCAATGCCGTACCACGTCTGCCAGCACCCAGGAGACATAGGGTGACGGTTACCTGAGTGGGCTCCATGCTTGCCGTGGTATGGCGTCTGCACAGGTAACTCAGGAAAAAAGGCGCGAAACGATTGTCTGCCCTTGCTTTCACGGAGGGAGGGAGGGAACGGGGGCCTGACGATATGTACCCAGAACCACCCGCGACAATGTTTTAGCCCCATCAGGCATTGGGATCTCAACCCAGAATTCCAATGGGCAGCGGAGACTGCAGGAACTGTGGGACAGCTATCCACAGTGCAATGCTCCGGAAGTCGACTCTAGCCTCGGTACTGTGGAAGCACTCCGCCGAGTTAATGCACTTAATGCACTTAGAGCATTTTCTGTGGGGACACACACACTCGAATATATAAAACCGATTTCTAAAAAACTGACTTCTATAAATTCGACCTTTATTCCGTAGTGTAGACATACCCTTACAAGCGCTCTTACTGCAGTTACAAGAGAACAATTTCAATCTGCTTGTTCAGCGTGTCCAATTCAACAAAAACTACAGGAATTTCTGACAAAGAGATGGCCCTGTAACCCTAAAAACCTTGACCCAGTTTTGCTGCCTTATTTTAGAGTTTGGGATGAACTTTCTTTGCTTGATGGCTGTGTGCTACGAGGTACGCACCGGCTACTTGTGTCAGAAGAATTACTGTCAAAACTCATACACCTGGCACACGATACTCATCAAGGAATTTTCAGAACCAAACAATGACTACGGGATCTGTATTGGTGGCCAGGGATGGACTCTCAAACTGAAGCACTCATAAAATCCTGTGTCACTTGCCAAATGCATGATAAGATGGCAGTGACATGTACCCCTCCATTACAGCCTGTTCCTCTTCCTGAATCTGCATGGTAAAAAGTGGTGATTGACATTGTAGGACCCTTTGATACTGCTCCAAGTGACTGCCGTTATGCCATCACTTTAATAGACTATTTCAGTAAATGGCCTGAGGTAGCGTTTACATCCCATATCTTTTCTGCTACAGTAATTAAGTTCTTCTCTTCAGTTTTTAGCAGTGAAGGTAACCCCAAAGAACTGGTTTCAGATAATGGTAGTCAATTTACTTCCCTGGAGTTTGAAACTTTTCTAGCAGAGAGGAACATTTTACGCAGAAGGTCATCCCTATACTACCCTCAAGCCAATGGGGAAATCGAATGGTTTAACAGAAGTTTGAAAGAGAGTTTGCAAATGGCTAAACTGGAAGGGCGATTGTGGATAAGCTTCGCTACTGATTTCTTGCAAGCATACCGGGCTACATGACATGCCACAACACAAAGATCACCCGCAGAGTTACTGCACGGGAAACAGAGGAATACTAAACTGAACATTTCTGGATTGTTACAGGTACAACCTGATGCCCAAACGAGGATGATGTGAGAAAAACAGTTGAACAGAACCAAGCAAAGTATAAGGCTTTCACAGACAAGCGATGGGGTGCTAAGGAACCAAAGTTTGACTGTGGTTCCTTCATTAGAATATGGAAACCTGGAATTTTACAAAAAGGGGACCATAAATTCACAGCTCCTCTTAAAATCATAGAGAAGAAGGGACCTTACACCTATTGACTTTCTGACGGGCGGGTATGGAATGTTTCTTATCTTGCACCTGCCTACACACCAAGAGGAGATTATGCCAACACCCAGTCTGCATTGGATGACTTCACCGTAGTACCAACAAGACATTGCACTGGAACCGGGGCTTGGGAGATGGCCTGTCAGACCCAGACAACCACCTGTCTGGACTAGAGACTATGTTATGTAGTATCTACAGTGTTTTCAGTGTAATATCTCTGCCAACAGTATAGTGTCTTGTTTCATATTTGTTCCTGTGGTTAGAACAACAAAGTTTATTTTAATTGGGAGAGTTTCTTAAGAGAGGAGGGAATGTGGTGTTTAGATGCTGCTTGTAATTATTAGAACTGGGAGCACTGGCTGCTGGGAGTCTGAAAGGACAGGAAACAGGAAGGAGGAGGGGGAGTTGAGGGGGCTGAGTGAGAGCTACCGAGGGTGCAGCAGCAGCTTGGTAAAGAGGCTTCCACTTTAAAAAGAAAGTCCTGTTGAAGTTCATTAGTACCTTGCCTGGTTGTTACAACAGGGAGTGACATCATGGTTCTTCACTGACTCCCTGTCCCAAAGAGATTCTTGGAAACACTTGAGGAATAAGGACTGAACTGGGGGAAAGGACTGGACCCAGGCTGAAGGAATTTTTAGTCTGTGAAAGGAATACCTGGGGTTTTTAAGATGCAAGCAAGGGCAGCTGGCTTAAATCATCATTTAGGGTGAGAATTTTCTACTTATATCCGATCTCTTTAGTATATTAAGTTTAGATAGCATTTTTGTCTATTTGCTAGGTAACCTGCTTTGATCTGTTTGCTATACCTTATAATCACTTAAAATCTATCTTTTGTAGCTAATACATTTGTTTTTGCTTTATCACAAACCAATGCATGGGAGTCATAACTTGGGGCAAGAAGCTGTTGTATATTCGCTCTCCACACTGAGGGAGGGGGCAAATTTCATGAGCTTATGCTGTACAGATCTTGGTGCAGCACAAGATGGTATAATTTTGGGTTTACATTCCAGAGAAGCGTGTGCTCTTGAGTAGCTGGGCAGTTCCTTAGCTGTAGCCTCCCCATGCAGAACTGATCACAGCAGCCTGTAAGTGCTGCAGCTGCGTGTGTCCCTACCTATGTGTATGCTGGTGAAAGGGCAAGCTTGGAGAGCTTGGCAACTTATCACAGCAGCACATTGTGAGAGGAGGCTCAGTGGTACCCCAGTTGCAGGTGGGAACCCATCAGAATTATCTCAAAGGTTTTGTGCATGTTTAGGACAGTCAACACAGATGTAGTACTGACCTCCAGCTAGCTGAGACCAGATTGTATGCATGGTTGTCATTTGACATGGTTATCTAGAAGTCAGTACAGCAGATGCTAGGTGGCATAATTGTAAACCTGAGCACTGCTGAGATTACATCATCAGGAACACATTAACCCATTGGCCCGTCAGCTTTCTACAGACACCTGACTGTATGATATGTTCCACAGAGAAGCAGATGCCCAAAAAAGAGAAGAAAAGAAAAGAAAAAACTGGAAGTAATAATTTTACCGGATTCCCACATTAATTAGTGGAAACTAGTTATTTAATATGAAGATGCCTTCTTCATAAAAATACAAAAAACATACTTTTGAATTTTCCATTCCTCCATTTTCATACCTCTCTTAATCCAGGCAGGCCACAAATTAATGTCAGGACAACAAACTGTCCAAACAGAATCTGAGGAAAGAGCAATACTAATCTTAAAAAAATAAAAGAGATTGAAAAGATTAGAACTGTTTACCTTAGAAAGGAGATGAATGAAAGGGAACATGATAAAGGTACATAAGATAATGTGTGGCAGAGAAAAATTAGCTCAGTCATTTCTATTCACTCTTTCTGACAACACAAGAATAAGGGGACATTACATGAAACTAAATTTAAAACCGATAGAAGGAAAAAAATTCAACACACAATTAGCCTGTGGAATTTATTGCTACAAGATATTATTGAAACCAAGATCTTAGCAGGGTTCAGAAAAGGACTGGAAATGTATATGGATAGCAAGAACATCCAGAATTATAATAATAAGATACTTTAAACAAAAATTTAATGGATATAAACTGTGATGCTTCAGGGCATAAGACAACCTGAAACTAATAGGGATTAAGAAGAATTTTTTTCTGTGGGCAGGTTATTCCATAATTGTCCTCTGCAAGATTTATTGCACATTCTTTTGAAGTGAATACTGGCTACCGTCTGAGATCGGATACTGGACTCGATAGACTACAGGTCTGATTAAGTATGGCAATTCATATGGGGCCAAATGGTGCAGTGATTTACAGCATGTGCAATCTCACTGAAGGCAATGGGATTACAGAAGGTGTAATTTGGTTTAGTATGTTTGGGGGGTGGATGTGGGAAGTTGTTGAGAGTAAATGCTGTATGTTCTTGAAAGACAGTATTTTAGCCTATGCTGAACTAATTACATTTGCAGCTTTTCCTTTTACTCCTGAAATTACGAGCTGCAGGTTTCTCTTTTAATCAAAGCCTTTTGTCTTTGTGAACACATAGCTAGTAGGTTTAACTTTCCTCTGTGTCTTTGAGGAAGTTGTGATGATTCCTTCTTGAGACATTTGGCAGTTCAGCATATGGACTGCTGAGAGACACCTAGCATAATGTATGTACCACCTGAGTTGTGGCTGAGATGAGTCACATTTTAGAGTTTTTCCTTTCTCATAGCAAGAAATAAAGGGATCATTGTGGTAAGAGAAGGTTAATTGATACAAGTACTAGTTTTTACTTAAAAGAAGAAAAATATCCGGATTCAAAAAGTGAGAGTAATCACAATTTCCATGAAACACAAGGTACTTTAAAAAGCCCATAAGCAAGAACAGTGTTGTACTTTGGGTATTTTAGGTAATTTGAAGACAAAAACAAATTACAGCATAGGCTACTTGTTTTCCATTGTGTTTTGTTTTCTCCTTTCAAACAAAATGTTAATCTTCTTACATTTATATGTACAGTACATTTTACATTTCAGTTACTAATTGCATATATACTATGCCTCTTATGTTCCCTGCTTTCCTCCTCAACAGTCTATTCCTATTCAGCATACCACTTAAGCATGAACTTAACTTTAAGAATGTGCTTAAGTCCCTTTGCTATCAATGTTTTACCGAATAAGGATGGACTTCAACGTGTGCTTAAATGCTTTGCTGAATTCAGGGCTGGTAGATGCCAAGTGGAACAAAGTTGTGGACAACCCATGGTGGGGGCAGGTAGAATGGAGATATGCCTGTGCCTGGTGTTTCCACTTCCATGTGCAAACACAGATACACCCCTTAGCTACCTACAACCCCTCTGCAGAACTCTGCACATGTCAGAGACTCTCCAAGGACAGACACTGGCTGGAAGTCAGTGAAGCATGACTGTGAGCCTTTCTTGGTTGTCCATACTTAGGAAAGAACTGGACAGGATAATAAAAAAAGAGCCTCTGTTGGTGTCTGGCTGGTGATCCATACAGCTGGAAGAGGCATTCCTGATTTAAATTATTGGGCAAGGTAAAAATAATAATACCCATATCAACAATGCTCTCAACTCTGGCATATATTCAAAACTGGAAGAGATGTGGCAGGCATCAGACTAGCACCTCTCCTAGTCCCACAGCTCTTTTCAGGTAATGTTCAGTGTTTCCCTTTTCACCCAGAAGGGGAACATGCACTCACCCAAGAAGTCTATGGAATTTAATAGGGACAAAACCAATAGAGGTTTATAGCAACTCCTCTAAAACCCTTTATACAATTCCAGAGATTGATAAAGGTTTTTTAGACCAATCTTTATTCAATTCTATAGAACTATTCCCTACATGTATGGGCCTAGATATATCTGAATCACTCTACCCTAGATGAAGTATTTACATCTTTGGGTAAAGCATGCACAGCAATGCTCCACATTAATGATGCTACGTATTTATGGTCTTCTGTTTTAGTCCAAAACTGATACTAGTCAGATGAAACCCCACCAAATAAAAATCTGAGATCAGGATTGTATAAAATATAAATTCCAAACACCCTAATGTGAGTGGGCCAGTGGGCTCTAAAGCTCTCCACACTCACGGGGAGTTCAGCCTCAGGCATTTGGGGCTTTTGAGGGGCACCATTTTAAAAATACAATTGGGTGAAAATTAAAAATAGACTCTAGCCCCTCATACCCACACCCAATAAGCCTTTTTGTACAAAAATAGTGAAAAATCAGAAAAAAATAAAATACCAGAAACTGCTAATTTATAGCTATGATTTTGCAAGTAACTGAATTTTCTAAAGTATCCCAGTAAATTTGCAGTGTTGATAACAAGCAACATAGTTGTTTGTCAGAGTTTTACTAGGTAGGTTAGATAAACAATATGTAAGGAATAGTGGATATGTATGTGCCAAAAGCAATGAACATGCTGTGCAAATTATGATTGTACTAGGCATAACCTACGGATACACCACAGAACGTCTACAGTACTGTACATGTACAGATCTGTGCAAAGCTGCCAGTTTTTGCTTTACTGAATTTCTGCAGCAAAACCAGAAAATCTTGCCTCTAGGGCCAGGACTCTTAAATATGGACACATGATAAGTGTACAAATATTTGAAGGGTGGAAACACTAAGGGGTGAAATAAATTATTTAAGAAAGGGGTTATAACTACGGGTACTGAGATAAAAGAAAAAAGGGAAAGTTTAGGTTGAATATCAGGGAAGTATCTTGACAGTGAGATATTTTCTGCTCTGCATTAGTCATCCAAAGGAAGTGATGGCATCAACATTGCTTGGGA